GAGTAGAGACCTGTGTGTAGACAACTTATTATCCCTAAATATAAAGATAAAATGATCCTGGTCAATAGATTTCAGTAAGGGTTGACCACATAAAGCCAGTGGTAGTTTTGCAGATCCCAATGGTGGGCCATTTCTGTAGCAATTGCTGTGGCAGTCAATATTAACAGTAAAAAAATATTGTGCTCAAGACATGTGTGTATGCACAGAGAATCAGACCTTAGATCAGAAATTCTAAGCAAATATTATTTTTGATTCTGACTCTGAAAATGGGAAGATATGTAGAGGGGATGTGTAATTTCAATTCCTCCCATTAGAGCTGGGATTCCTCTAACTCTGCCCACCTGGATTCTAATTGTGTCCAAAGTAACTCACCATGCAAGTGCTGGCTTTGTGGAATGTGAGTGAGTTTACAAGGTTAAGAGAAACCATTTCAGCTCAATCTGTACCACAATTTTTATTTGTGTGTGTGTGTGTGTGTGTGTGTGTGTGTGTGTGCTTTTAACCACTTGTCAGTAGATTCCGGCTGATCCTGATCTTGTATGTATCAGAGTAAAACTGTGTTTCCCAGGGTTTTCAGTGGCTATTTTGTCATCAGTTTTCTTCAATTTTTCAGGCTTTTCTTCCCAAATGCTTCCCTAACCTTTTGGTTAGCTAACAATGTGTTAATTGCTCGCATGATCCACTAACTCTTGTCATGAACCCTATTCGCACATAAATGTAGTTGCCTCATCTGAATATCTTTTCTCAACCTCTACAATGCACTTCTTGGGTAGTAGTGATTATTTTCATTATGACAATTAGTGATAGAATTAATATGTGTTCAAACTTACTTTATAGATATTGTCTGAGTCATAATATTATATATGCCAAATTCTCTATATAGATTATTGAACAATTAATATGTGTTCAAACTTACTTTATAGATATTGCCTGAGTCATAATATTATATATGCCAAATTCTCTATATAGATTATTGACATATATAACTATAATTTGCAACCACCAGTCAGTCTGTGGGAGAAAAATGAGGTTTTCTACTCCCATATAGCATTACAGTCTCAAAAACTCACAGGGACAATTCTACTCTGTCTTCTGTGGTCACCCTGAATCAGAAATGATTTGGCGGCAATGAGTTTGGTTTATTTAACCTTCCTAGCTAATCTAAATTGGAGATTTCAAAAGAGTGGATAACTAGTCCTTGTAATAATTTTGAAAAATGTGATAAAGATCAACATACACATGATGATGTGAAAAGTGTGAATATTGTAAAAATAGTTTGGATGTATGTTTTCTAAAATAAATTATATTTATAATAACAATTGGATTTGTGATAATAATTATGATGTTGAGCTATGGAACTGCATGATGACCAAAGTTCTAGTACAACCAGTAAATTACAGTAGAGTAAGTGTGAACATTTATAATGCATGCCAATAACCTAATTTGAAACTCCATTTCCCAAATTGTGGTTTTTTACTAGTATAAAACAAAGCAAAAGCGCCAGTGATCACATTATGTTGAGAAACGCTAAAAGTATTTATTTGAGGTGCATTAAAAGTTATGAGAATGTTAAAAAAGCGAACATTTATTCACTGCTTATCATGTGCCAGGCATAGAACAATATGTTACACTTGAATTACCTCACTTTAACCTTCTAAAAGGGATGACTAGTAATTCTACTTATGAAATTTCTTAATTCATCATAACTGCATGTTAGTAAAAATTATATTAAATGCTACTGTCTTAAGGAAAATAATTATATAATTTTTTAACCACAATGAAAGTATTATTTATGCTAGACCTCAAAAATAGAAAAGACATTTCCAAGGTTATATTTGTTTGCTGCATTAATATTTTTAGTTGTCTAGTTGTTCTATATTCACAACCAATGAATTCACTATTCTGTTAGGCAGACACAGTATCTCAAATGGAAAAAAATTTTCACTCTAAATAATGTTATAATTTTCCCGTTAGCTACATTAGAAACAGATGGCAATTTGCTCTGAGGAGAGCTAAATAATATCGACTGAAAATGCTTAGCATTTATTCTAATGCCATTGTGTTAAGATAGTCTTTTATTCATTAAATGGGAATTACAAAATCAATTGTATACATACTGCATGAGATCACTCAATTAAATCAAATAACTTTTATTAAAAAATAATTGTATGGCACAAACAACCTTACTGTGAATGCAAAAGGAATATAGGTAGATTTTTTTAAAATGTTAATGACCGAATGTTATTAAATAGTGGATTCAAATGAGCATATTCTTTAACCTCCAAATTAGCTTTAAGAAAAGTAAGGGGGATAAAACACCTCAGGATCTTAATCTACTATGTAAATCGTACATTTATAGCAATGAATCTCAAAAGTAACAAACTCACTGCCGTTGAGTGTGACTCATAGGAACCCCTGCGGGTTTCTGAGACTGTAACAGTTACGGAGTAGAAAGTCCAGTCTTTTCTTTCTCCCTGCCAGCTGCTGGTGGTTTCGACCAGCTGACCATACTGATCGCAGCCCACCATGTAACACTACACCACCAGGGCAATTAGATCAGTTAAAGTACAGAAGATGTCATTATTTTGTTGTTTGCATTTCCCTTTTAAGATGGGCATGCAAATGCAAGGTTAATAGATCAAGCTGAGTTTCAGATTTCAAAATCGTGTATGGTGGAGTTGCGAGGGATCGTCAGCATTATCTAATCCAGTCAGCATGCTGGGATACTAGATAGAATTCCTACAATCAAGGGTAGAACCATTCAGTAAAGGACAAGGCATACATCATACCCATCCATCCATCGCTCAACTTCCATATAGTCATTCATTCAGCAGGTATTCATTGGATGTCTGTGGGTGCTATGTACTGAGAGTGTGACAGTCAGAAAAGCTGGACAGAGCCAAGCATATTTTACCCAAGGAGAAAGCTTAGAAGGCAGGAAGGATAAGCCAGAAAGAAAAGTGGAAACTGGGAATATGGGGAGGAAATGGAAATGATGCTGTTACATTTTAGGTATAGCAACTGATGTCATGAGCAACATGCGTATGGATGGTTGAATGGAAACCCCGTTTGCTTTGTAAACTGTCTCTCAACTCACCATCCACTGCCATTAAATCGATTCTGGCACATAGTACCGTATGTAGAACAGAGTAGAACGGCTTCGAGCTTCCCAGACTGCAAGTTTTCACAGCATCATCTTTCGCCTGTGCCGTGGCTGCTGGGGTTCAACCATTGACATGGGGGTAGCAGCCCAATGCTTAGTCCAGTGCGGCACCAGAGCTTCCCGATCAAAATCGAAAACAAACAAAAACTAGACTATATATGACTCCTGACCTTACAGTAATTGGAGATGTCAGTGAGCGATGGACAAATCTTTTTTTAAATGTTTAGCCCCAATACACACATGAACAAAAAGCAAGACTTCACCTCCACAGAAAGGAACGTCGCTGTTGTTTTCTGGCGCTGTTGGGTTGGTTCCAACTCCTAGTGACCCTGTGTCCAACAAACAAAACACTGCCATCCTCATAATTATTCTTACGTTGGAGCCCACCAGTGCAGCCACTGTGGCTATCCATCTTGTTGAAGACCTGTCATGTTGCTGCCTTGCTACATGACCAAGCAGTACGGCTTTCTCCAGGGCCACATGTCCAAAGCAGGCGAGACGAAGTCCCACCATCCTGGCCTCTGAGGAGCATTCAGGTTGTACTCCTTCCAAGACATTTTTGGTTTGGTTTTGGCAGACCATGGTACTTTCAATATCCTCTAGCACCACAATCCAAATGCATTGATTCTTTCTCAATCTTCCTTATTCATTTTCGAACTTTCACGTGCATATGAGGTGGCTGAAACTCGTGACCATGGCTTGAGTAAGGTGCATGGATGCAATTCTGTTAAGACATACATGGAAGGAGCCTACCCTGAACCAGGGGCTCTCTCAAAGGACCTGCTCTTTGAATTGAGCAGAAAGGAATGAGGAGAAGTTATTTAGGCAAATGGAGAGGGTGGAAACACTTATAAGCACCTATTTAGCAACAGAAAATGCAGACTGTTTGAAGTCTTGAAATTAAAAAGAGAGGGGCCGGAAAGGGCTGAAGGGCTACTTTGGCCCAGACTAGCCAGGATCTACAGTCAGGTTTTGACTTTTTATTTTTATCCTAAGAATTCTGGACAGTCATGGGAGGATTTTAGCAGGAGGATATAGTTAGTTTTATTTCCACAGGGGCATTTCAATCTGCATAAAAGGAAATGCTAGATCCAGACATGTACTTTATAAACAATTTTTTTTAAGGTGGGGCAGAGAAGGAGTAAGATGGGGAGAGGGGAAAGGCAGCATGGGTATGAAGGACCAGGATGGAAGTGGTTGCTGTACTCTTATCTGGAATGGCCTTCTGAGAATGCAGTCGTGTTTGGAAAATGCATTGTTCTTGAATTGATATATCGGTGAAATCTGCTTACGTGTGTGAGCTTTATATGAACAACCACTCCTCTTCCAATTTCTAGGGTAACAGAGATTATGTAGGCTTTTTTCCTGCCAGCCCACTTTCTCTTTATAAAAGTCCCTACTTAACCTAAGAAATTGTCTCTTTTCTATAATGCCTTTCTTGACATTTTTTAAGATAAGCCATCCACTTATAGCAAAGACAAGTTTAAACATGTTTTCTTTGGAATAAACTAGTACGTGTAAGACCAGGAACCATAGTAACAAGTTTTCTTTTTTACTTAACCTTGTACAGCAATTTTGGAATCTAGTAACAATGCTTTTGAATTACTGTCATACATCATTACGTTGTGGCCAAATTACACCACTGCCAAACTACTTCAAATAGTGACCAGCCAAGGTGACAAATATCTTTGGAGGACAGAATTCAAGATAGGAGTTGAGTGAATGTTTGACTAAAAGTAAAACTTTTCATTATATGAGAAAGAACAGGAGGGCCAGGCTGAGAGTTTGAGCTATTTGTTTTCTTTTTACTAACAAGGTGTTTCTTCTTCCCCCAAAGTCCACAATGATGAAGGCAGTACAACAAGGGCCCTCACACTGAAGGATATCTTAAATGGGACATTTTCATATAAAACGTTTTTTCCAAACTGGATTTCAGGTAAATTAGTTATCTTTCTGTGGGCTTGATTTTCAGTAAAATATATGTGGTTTTTAGTAGCAACGCACTAAAAATAATATGCACTAAAAAATAGTATGCACTAAAAAAAATTAATCAATTGAAATAGTTAAGAAAGCAATTGCCTAGAGAAATCAAGCATCCTCTGAACTAATTTTATCAGAACCATCCAAACTGGATTTGACCAATAATAATGAAGATGATAGTACTTTTAGTTGGAAAATAAAAGCTGAAAATGCACTGTTGATGAAAGTCAAGTACATACTGTAGCTTTTCAGAGTGAGGAATGTGCATCTATTTACAAGAAGTCATAGGAATTTTACCAAAAGACATATTTATTGTTAAATTGAATATTCTGAAAAAAATGGGCAAAACCCCTTTAAAGATCAGAAAAAACATATTTGTTTATGGTTCTTATTATAATATAGGATAATACTGATGCATTTAATCACTCAAATGCAAAGATTTAATTATTTATGACATTATAATTGTTTACCTAAATTACCACTAAGCAAAATGGAATATTTTTATTTTTTCTTTAAAAATAAAATGCATACAAATGGATTTTAAACTACATATAACCCAACATAAATGTATAATTTTATTGTTATGAAAGAAACCAACCACTATTTGATGTCATAATACAGGGTACGACATTGAAAATATTATGCTGACAGAAATTCACCACAGGTCAGAGAAACTAGGTTGTATGATCCCGCTTATATAAACTATCCAGAGTTGATATTATATAGGAACAACCACTGCTCCTTATTGGTCATTAGGGGTGAGCAGGCGGAGTGATTGGAGAAGGACTTTTGCTTTAGGGACACGAAGTTTTGTTAAAGCTGAGAGAATTATTTGGAAATAGACAGTGCTGGTGGCTGTACAATGTGTTGAACATAATCAGTGCCACGGAATTGGACACGGAAAATGTTAACTTGATGACTGCATTGTGACATGTATATTTTTTACCAAGATAAAAAAAGAAGGCTATTTTTAACTAGTTTATGCTTTTTGTACCACAGACAAAACAAAATTTTATTTCCAAACTTTCTGAACCGCTTAGGATAGCGCTGTTAGCAAATATGGCATCTGAGTAAAATCGGAGGCATCCTTTTTTTTTTTTTTTTTGAATATCAACTTATTTTAAATCTGACAAATTGACTGGGCAGGGAGAACAGACAAGAAATCTGTGAGATGAAAGAGGTTTCTCTTTGTTACAAATCTATTTCCTCTTAAAGAAGATCATTTCAACCCCCCCTCCTTTTTTTTTGTTTAAAGGGCAAGAATATCTCCACCAATCTGCAGATAATAATGTAGTATTTTATAATATCGAAACAGGAGAATCATATACCATTTTGAGTAATACTACCCTGGTATGTATCCATCATCCTCTTCCACCTCCGAAACTGCAGCCAGGTCTTCATCGACCAAGAAGCATATTTCAAACTCCTAGCCACGCGATCTAGTTTCATTCTGCATTCCAAGTCTGTCCCCCACCCTCATTCTCTCCCAGTTCTATCTCCCTAGCACACTGTGTGACTGCTTGCCTGGTTCTCAGTCACCTATCAGCTTACCTTGTCGATGAAAATACTAAGACATGGAAGTGAGGAACTCGGTAGTTGACGGGTGAAAGCTCCAGTTTCAAATCTGGGCTCTTCTACTTAATTACCCATGGAACTTCAAGAACAGGCCACACGACACCAATCAAATATGCCTCAATTTTCTTATCTGCAAAGCGGGAATGATAATAACACCTCTTTTGTTATTATAAGAATTAAGCAAAATACCACGCACAAGAATAGCGTCCATCACAGAATAAATGTTCAATAGACGGTGTGCGTTAAATATGGGAGCATAGTGTTCTGCCTTCCTGGACGCTGAATCCTCCTACTTTCTTCACCCTGAAAAGACTCAGGTTTCCATCAAACTAAGCTCCGCTGACACCTCCTTGATGCAATCAACACTTCTCTCATTTAGAGTCAATTACTCTTTGCCTATTGATCTCCTAATGCTGTATTTATATATCATTTATGGAACTTTGCAACTTGTAATATGTTACTTATTTGCAATTTTACCATTATAAATTGCTTAAGATTGAAAATTCTGTCTTCTTTCTTCTGTCCTCCCCCCATGGTGTCTAATAAATTACTTTCTATACAGTAGGCATAAGCACATTTTAGAACTATATCATAATTATAAGTATGTACAATGATATGATATTCTTTGATAATTGAAATTTTATATTGCTCAGATTTATTTTATTCTGTGCTCTAAACAACTTCTTCATAATTTCAGAAAAGCGTCAACGCTTCCAATTATGGCTTATCACCCGATCGACAGTTTGTGTATCTAGAAAGTGATTATGCAAAGGTATTTTAAATTGACTATTTTATTTGGATGCATCTGATTATATCTCCTACTAATCCACAAATGGGCTTATAAACGGCAAAAGAATCAAGAATCTACTTTGACCTCTAAATATTTAAGAAGTTAAGGTAGATTCTAGGTGAACTCAAGGAACATAACTAAAATATGGATAAATAATTCAGAAACTGGCTTTCTTGTCTGGTCATTATTTAATATAAGCTACTTTCCATTGGTGGAAGAAAATTTCATTTGGGGGCACAGATACTCGCCCCTCCAAAAGGAAGTATTATCATCACATACCTAAAGCTACCCGCGACATAATAAGTCACACAATGTTCATATATTTTAAGCTCACTAGTGGCTTTTGTTACTGGAAGCGGAATACTCATGGAGTAGCACATTTAATCCACATGCTGAACAAGATAATAAGAAGAGCCTTCAAAAAGTTTGTGTGAATATTCCATTTTTTTCACGAATTTCTTGAGGCCTTCTTGTTTACAGTCAAGTGGTGGAGCCAAAGTCTAAAATGTTTGTCTTGTAAAGCCTAGGTTAGAAGTATTCCCACCAAAACACACCACTGTTGCTACCGTCTCAGATTTAGTCCATTTGACTCCTGCTCATTCCAGATGGTGAGAGAACCACTTGTGCTATTGACAAGCATTTTTAAGGAAGATTTCTTTGGTCTTGCACGGGACCTCTTAGTTTCTATCATCGAGACCATCTTTTCTAACTACTGATCGTCTTCGTTTCCAACTCTTGCATTCCAATGACCAGTAATTCTCGATACACCTTAATGTCATGTTTGATCAATTTTAGACTGGAGAAGTTTGTAAAAATTCTTCAATATCTTCTTCTTTAGCATTAGTGGTTGGTGCGTGTATTTAAGAAATAGTCATATTAAGTGGCTTTCCTTGTCGGCAAGTGGATACTATCCTCCACTGGCAGCATTGTACTGCAGGATAGATATTGAAATGATCTTTTTGGCAATTAACGTGAGGCCATTTCACTAGCATAGTAGAGTGTCTGATTGTCTGATTCAAAATGCCCAAGATCAGTCCACGTCAGCTCCCCAATAGCTAAAATATCCATTGTCAAACCTATTAAGTTTTTGTCAACTTCTATTTTTCGTAAATTCTATCTTCTTAATTTTAATGGATGCTCAGATTGCTACTTCTCATTGTGAGTCCTCAGCCAATTAAGATCTTTGAAGTCTTAGAACATCAACCTCATTAAAGTGGACTCTGCTTTAAGAAGGCAGCTCTTCCTGAGTCCGTCTGAGCGCCTTCCCACCCCGGGGACTCATTTTCCAGCACCAGGTCAAGGGGTGTTGTTCTGTGTTCACTGGCCAGTGATTGTAGAAGTAGATTGCCCCGGCCTTTTCACTAGTCTGCTTTAGCCTGGAAGCCTTCCTGAAACCGAGCCATTACGAGTGATCCCTCTAATGGCATTGCTTCCATCATCACAGCAACCCACGCAAGCCACCAGGGTAAGTGGTGGAAACTTGTGATTGATGCTTCTGATATAGTGTAGAAAATATTTATTTTAAATCATAATTTGTCACTCCCTCTCTTTTTTCTAACAGCTTTGGAGATACTCGTATACAGCAACCTATCACATCTATGACCTTAGAAACGGGTAAAGCTTCATGTTTACTTATTAATATTCCTTAGAGTTGGTAGCTGGATGTTTCCATTTCAAATTCTAGTTTGAGGTTAAGATTGAATCATCTTGTAACTGATTTAGGTATAATTATTTTTCCACTTAACATGAAATTCAAGACAATTCTTATTTGGGAAACTCACTTCCTTTGGGATGATGGATATTTTGTGTTCATATGTCTGATATAGTTTTATGCATATGTATGGTTCAAACTGTTAGTCGAAATTTTTCATTGTCTTTTAATTCAATTTCTCCATGAATTTTTTGAAGTCCCTACATATGTGTATATATAAACACACACAGCCACACACATACAATGAAAACATGCACAGGAATTATATACTCCCATTTTTTAGGAGAATAGCTGCTTCGTTGGAAGTAAGCAAAAGAGATGGTGATGCAGATTAAAACTGTATTGAACATATCTATAAATTAATTTAATTTTTTTCTAATAGCTATATTGGAATATAATTCATGTATGATAAACTTCCATAGTTAAGTCACATTTTAAAAGAATTGTATATACAGCACCACAATCACTTCTAGAGCATCCTTCCCCCTTCTGTGTCCATTACTTGCTCCCCAATTCCCTCCAACCTCCTCCCAACATCCCCAGTAAGACTTAGACCAATTACTGTCTCTATACATCCTCTGCCGCTCCTGTGCTCCATTAACCGAGAAACATATGAAATATATATATATATATAAACCCCAGAGCAATATTAAAATAAACCAGAGGAAAAACTGTGTCCCCAAAAGAGAATATTTAAAACTAGATCAAATATAGAATGAGTCAAGAGGGAGATCAAATGACCCTTGTTCCATCCTCGTAATCAAGTTTACAATCATCTCTGTCTGATGCCCAGTTTCTTTGAGTCCCTCCACTCTGGTCAGAGGGGAACCACTGGAGGCTTAATCCATGTAGCAAGCTTGCAGGTGGATTTTGGCCTCCCACTCTCATCCATAGCTTTCTGCAAATTGGTTGTTCACATATTTTTAATTGAGTCAGTTACCCTTAAGTGAAAAAGTTAACATATCTTAAATTCAGGTGGTAGATAAATTGTCATCTTATTTTATTCTTTTATCTTCTTATTGTATTTTTTTTTTGAGGAGCCCTGATGGCATAGTGATTATGTGTTGGGCTGCAATTCAAAAGATCCACAGTTCAAAACCACCAGCCGCTCTGTGGAAGAAAGGCAGGGCCTTCTACTCCCATAACAGTTACAATCTCGGGAACTCCTGGGTCAGCCCTGGGGTTGTTGGGAGCCCTCATCAACTGAATGGCAGTGAGTTTGATTTGGTTTAGAATCATGCTATTCATTTTATTACCAATAGGAAAAACGTTAATTGACTTGATGGCAGAATCTGTGTGTTTTACTTTTTGAAACATACGAGGGGGTACACAAAAAACACGGGAATTGTGCTGGGTGGAGCGGGGATTTTGTAGTCTGCATTTTCCCGCTGGGCAAGCATCCAACAACTCGCTCTGAATTAGTGCACCCAGTGGCATCGCCTGGGAAGGTTCTCTCTGCTCACAATGAATTTTTTCATAAAAGCAGTTTCACTTGAACCTCATTTTATATTATGGCTGATTTAAGAGAACAGCATGCTGCTGTGAAATTTTGTTTCCTGCTGGGGAAAAATGATGCAGCAACTGCTGTGATGTTGAACACAGCTTACAAGGACAGCACTATGGGAAAAACACAAGTGTAGAAGTAGTTTTCTTATTTCAAAAAAAGGTGAGATGTCGATTGATGACAAACCTCATTCTGGATATCCATCAATTTCCCAAAAGGATGAAAATGTTGACTTGTCATGCATTTGGAGTGTGTTCCATCAGGTCACACTGTTAATCAAGCTTTCTAGTTAGAGGTTCTGAAAAGATAGCGCAATAGTATGTGACACAAAAGACCTGATTTGTGTCAAACCGGAAACAGGTTTTGCCACCACGACAATGCACCTGCTCATGCAGCCATCTCAGTGACCAGTTTTTGGCAAAAAACCAGCATGCCTCTCTTGCTCCACACACCTTACTCACTTGAACTTGCTCTGTGCAACTTCTTTTTGTTTCTGCAAATGAAGAGGGACGTGAAACGACAACCATTTGAGGATGTAAAAGAGGTGAAGAAAAAAATGAGGGAGGTGCTGTCAGTCATCCAAATAGATGAGTTTGAAAAATGTTTCCAAGAATGGAATCACAGATTTGACAAGTGTATTAAATGTAAGGGAGAGTACTTTGAAGGTGATAAGGTTGTTTTGTAAAAAAAATTTAAAGCATAGCTTTGAAAAGTTTTTCCTGTTTTTTGGGGGGTTCCCTCTCATATTTACAACAGAAAAATATTAAAGAAGATGCAAATTTTGTGAAGGACTTATGGAAAGAATTCCAGAATGAAAACAATTATGCTTCTAAAGGGAAGCAGAGAGAGTTGGGGTGACTCAAAATAGACTAGTTTAGTTGAAATTGGAGGAGCTGCGCTAGGACAAATGTGAGGTGGTGTAAGGCTGGGAAGGAGGGGAAGCCAGGAAATGTAGGCCAAATAATAATGAGGAAACCTTTTAAGAGACTTTAGATCCCATTCTGATAGCAATAGGGAATCACTGAAGGGTTTTAATGGGAAATGACATGATCAGATTTGCAGTTTAGAAAAATCGCTCTGGCTAATTATGGACAATGAATTGGTTTAGTTACTCATCTTAATGTGATATCCTCTTTGCTGTTATATAAAAGGGAAAATAATTGTATGGCTTGAGGAGGTATTGAAAATTCTTCTGGTCTAATACCTCTTTTATCTAGAAAAAACACAAAGCATCAAAAATTATCTATTTTTTTAAATGTTCAGCAAAAGAATAACCCCTGATCTCTTTAAACTGTCCACTTAAAAAAAAAGGAATCTCTTCTTACAATAGAATCTAAATCCTGCTACTGCATTTTCCGCCTCCTCTTTGTAGCCTTATCATCATTCACTCAGCAAGTGTCTATTGAGCATTTATTATGCGTAAGACAAATATGGGGAAAGACAAATGAGATCAAAGATCTAACCATATTCTCAAATAACTATTAGTGAGGTTTTCCCATACAATTTCTTAGGACTTTAATTATTTTTGTTTTCTTTTAATTATTTTGAACTTCTCCTCATACAACCTAGGTTGAGTTTCACTAACCTGAACAGCATTTTTAAAGATACTGAAACCAAATGTTTTATTCATGAGCTTAATAAACATTGTAGCCTAGAATCATACTCAATATTTAACTGTTGTATTCATTGAATCAAGTCATTGAGTTTTTATTTCCCCCCCTGCACAATGGTAGTTTGTCTCATTGTCAAGTAAATACAGCACAATGTAGGAAGTGAGAGATGGAAAAAGGGGTGAAAACAAAAAAAAGAACGGCAACAACTGGAAAGCCTCCAAAAACCCCCGCAACAAAAAAAAAACCAACAACGAAGGGCCTCAAAAAAAGGAAGGAAAAAAGGAATGGGAAGGGAAGTTTAACAACCCCCAAAAAAAAGAATTTTTTTTTAAATTTTTAAAAGGAAAAAAAAAAGATACAACTAATGGTGTCTTTTCATCTGAAGAAAAGAAGAGTTAAAAAAAATCAAAGACTCCCAGGAACAATTTGTCCAAAAGACTAAAAGACTATGAGGACCACAGCCTCCATTAACAAGAAACCAAAATTAGATGGTGCTTGGCTACCACTATTGATATCTCTGATCAGGAACACAAATGTCATGGACAGACCATGAAAAATACATATAGAAAAAAAATCCAAATCATAAAGAAGACCAGATTTACTGGTCCGATAGAAACTGGTGAACCACAAATAGGTCTGAGGGACCGGCCCCAATCCCAACTATGTGGACACAGGGCCCCCTCCCCCCAGAAAAATTCACTCAGAGAACAGCACTGAAACTATAACTCAGGGAGACGGACAAGTCTGATGAGAGCACACAAGAGCAAAAGAATGCGGAGGGAGAGAGAGTGGACCACATCCTGGCCCACCAAGCCCTGAGAACAATATCCCCACTCAGAGCAGCCAATGCACAGAGATTACCCCATCAGGCCAGCCCCACTATGAGACACAACATCCCTCACTGACCCATAGCACTACGGGGGACAATACTGGAGACACAGTGCGGGAATTGTGCCCCATCTGACCCCATCACACCGAGGTGAAACACTAAGGACTTGCAACAGAACAGCAAGGGGAGCAGAGCAATGAAGTCCCCAGGGAATACCAAAAATAGACTTTGGGGCCAGGGCATAGCACCCCATCAGACTTGACCAGAAAAAACACCTAAAGGTCAACAAACAGAATTTGAACTATTTATAGGCTTTTCTTTTTTTGGTCATTGGTTTTTGTTTTTGTTTTTGTTGATTCGTTTTGCTCTGTCTAGTTTTTCTGTATATTATTATCTCTGCATGCCTATCTAGATAAGATAGGCAGGATAAACAATCTGGAGGGGGAAACAATGGGATCGACGGTTCCAGGGGAACATGGGAGAGGTGGGGCAGGGGAAAGGAAGTGGGTATTAACATACCCAGGGACAAGGGAACAACAAGTGATCTAAAATCGATGGCAAGGAGGGTGTAGGAGGCCTGGTAGGGCTTGATCAAGGGCAATGTAACTAAGAGGAATTACTGAAACCCTAATGAAGGACCACATAGAAGAAGCACACCAGCCTGTGTGATCATAAGGTGTCGATAGGATCAGTTATCAGGCATCAAAGAACAAGAAATCATATCATTGCAAATGAGGGGGAGGCGGAGGGGGTGACCCAAAGCCCATCTGTAGGCAACTGGACATCCCCTTACAGAAGGGCCACGGGGAGGAAACGAGCAAGTCTGGGTGCAGTATAGCACCTATGGAACATACAACTTTCCTCTCGTTCTTTAATGCTTCCTCCCCCACCCACCACTATCATGATCCCAAGTCTACCTTACAAATATGGCTAGAACAGAAGATGTACACTGGTACAGATAAGAGCTGGAGACACAGGGAATCCAGGATAGATTAACCCTTCAGACCAATATTGAGAGTAGCCATAGCAGGAGGGTAAGGGGAATGTGGGGGGGAGACAGGAGGAACCAATCACAATGATCTACCTGTAACACCCTCCCAGGGGGATGGACAACAGAAAAGTAGGTGACAGGAGACATCGGTCAGTGTAAGACATGAAAAAATGATAGTAATTTATAAATTATCAAGGGTTCATGAGGGAGGGAGGGAAAAAATGAGGAGCTGATACCAAGGGCTCAATATTTTGAAAGAAAGAAAATCTTTTGAAAATGATGATGGCAACAAATGTATGAATGTACTTGACCCAATGGATGGATGTATAGATTGTGATAAGAGTTGTATGGACCCCCAATAAAATGGATCCCTGGTCCTCAGATATCCTTCAAATCTAGAACTGAATCTACTCCCCAGTATCATATTTCAGCCACACAATGAACAAGTCATAAACTGCCCAATCAATTTCAGAATGATCAACCATGAGACAAAAAGGACAGCATTTGCCCACACTGCCCCCAATTTAGAAGGCATCAAGAGATGGGGAAGACAAATACATAAAAATGGGGAAGCCAGAGAGGAAATGTGAAGCGTGCTGTTACAGTAAGAAGATTTCAACGGATAACCCAAAAACAAAATATGTGTACAAATCGTTTAACAGGAAACTAATTTGCTCTGTAAACTTTCACCCCAATCACACTAAAATATATTTTAAAACAGCAAGAAACTATCACAGAGAAAATGAAGACTCAAGTTTCCAGCTATGGAAGACATGGTGGCATAAAGCAGCCTTTCCCACCTTCTCTCAGACTGTTAAAAACTTCGGAAACAGAAAATGACTGCAGAAGGGACTTGTCAAGACAAGAAAAACCACGTGCTGACATTTTTAGTTTGGTGCTGTTTATGATTTCATAGATGATTCCACAACGTAAGGAAAACTAAAGCAGCGTTACAATGGCAACGAAACATGAGGTCTGGCACAGGCAGAATGGTGAAGTCGTCAATAACAAGCACCTTCTCATCTGGGCCATTCTTCTGTTTATGACCTCGTTCACAGCCTGGCAGACCTGCCAGGACCCGGTGCTCTTACACTGTCCTCTGCAGCCCTGGTCCCCACAGCCATGCCAATGGTCTTCAAAGGAGAACACTCTTCCTCCATTCAATAGACATCTGCCCGGTGTCATGTTCTCCACTGTGTTTTAGGCCTTATGCTACACAATGTTACGTGTTAAATCCATGTAATATGTGGTCCAGGTCTTTCCAGGTGCCTAAATTACAAATGACTTGGTCCAGTTAGAGAGAGATTATTTTGAGGCAAGAAAGTCTTTCTTACAGCTCTTCAAATGATGCCATGGGAACACATCTTGCTTTGCTTTCCCCACAAAGGCAGTCTTGATGAAACTATTAAAACAATCTTCAAGGAAAGAAGAGTCAAAACTTAAGCACGCCATCCCATGATTTTCTAACACATAGAAACCGGAACACATTTTTGCTGTAAAGCTACAAAAGCTCTACAATACAAGCCAGTCAGTTGAGTATTTGCAGGATGTCATTAAATATCAATCAAAGTGAGATCTCTGGCCAAAAGGATATTTGAAATTTCCTCATGGGTGGAGGACTTTGTAAGCTAAGGCAAACTGCCCAGTATACGGTCTGTTTTTCAGTTTAGCTTGAGATCAGATGTTCCTTTCCTTTTCTGATTTCAAGTCATAGCTCCGGAGAGATTGTCAAATGGCATCTTAGTTTCGAAAATTTAAATGCATATGCATTCACATAGATGGGGGTTGAAAATGAGAATGTGGACGTGTACATATTAAACATCAGTGCAATTATAGAATCTCAGAGCTACAAGGGACTCTCGTGGCTATCGCAATCTGGTCTGTGCAAATTTTAGTCTCAGGGGTTAAAAGACAAGTTTAATTAGGAATCTACCAAGAGCTAGTAATGTGACTGTTATGGATTCAATTATGTCCCCGAAATATATGTACTATAAACCCTCCCCTTTATGCCCATGGTGATTTTGTCATGGTGATGAGGCAGGCTTAGTGTAGTGGGTCTTCGGGTATTCTCTTTTGAAATATCAAAGAGATTAAACAAGCAAGAGTATGCAGAGAGAGAGAAAGGTAAATTCCAAGACACACGGAGAGCTCCAGGGACCGGGAAGCAGAAGCGAAAGAGACAAGAACGTCCCTTCCGAGTGTGCCCCAGAGCCAGCGCTCAGAATTTGGATTTCTAACCCCTTAACCTGTAAGAAAATAAACTCCGGGTTGGTACTGTCATCCGCTGTGTCACAGCAGCACTAGACAGCCAACACAGCAGCCTTAAGAGGTTACATCATCGCTCTAGCCCTCGTTTGTTTTGTTTAAATGAAGGAATACTATTAGATATGCTCATGGTAAATGTGCTCTATAAATCGCGAATCCAGTCCCTTCACCCCAAATGTCAGAAAACTGAGACTCCGTGAAAATTCCGCGGCTTATCCAATGTCATTTAATAGTGTAACCACAATCATTGTTTCCACCTGCATCCCTACATTTTTATGTTTGCTCAGCAAAATGACTATTTTTGGGGGGGGAGGCAGTTGTTCATTTTCTCTATTTATACAGAGTGGTTTTTGTTTTTTCCTCATTGGGCAACATTTTTCTTTCTTTCTCTCTTTCTAGGGAGTTTGTCAGAGGAAATGAGCTTCCTCCTCGAATTCAGTATTTTTGTTGGTCACCTGTGGGGAGCAAATTAGTAAGTGTTTAAATTATAGAAATGTTTTTAATCTTTTAAATAAAAGAGAAGCCATTTACTTTTGGACTTTGTTTAGTTTCCCTCCCTAAAAGAAAAAAAATGCATTCATGACTATTTTAGTGGTTAAAAATGGAAAGAGTTTTGATAAATTGAAACCCATCTGAGAATTCCGCAAAATCTCGAGCTCATGGATAGATTCTTTAAATATCGCCGTCAAAAACTTTATCCTTATCCTCAGCCAGAATGAGTTGTGCCAGAAAGCTCAGGAAAAATATGGTTTTCACAAGTTTCCCAGACTAGCTTCAGACAACATGAAATTTTGTCCAAGTGCTTATTTAAGGACTCTAAATAAAGATTAGATGTAGCTGGTTATTAATATTCAGAAGTTTACTTGACTTCCTGTCAATATACATAATTATTTGGTTACTAAAACAAGTATATAACAGTAGTATTTTTGTATGTACCTTAAAAATAATAATTGATGTTATTATGAGTTAGTTTTTTTTAACATTAAAATATTTCCATTATGAATCTTTTGCCTCTGGATTTTCACTATTTGTGACGGTTGTTAGGTGAATAATTAACACAAATACACAAATTTCATTGTGTTGCTTTTGAAATTACTTAATGAATTCACCACCACTTTCAGGCATATGTCTATCAAAACAATATCTATTTCAAGCAAAGACCAGGAGACCCACCTTTTCAAATAACATATAATGGACGAGAAAATAAAATATTTAATGGAATCCCAGACTGGGTTTATGAAGGTAAGCTGAATCTAATACTGCTATCTTAGACTTTAATTTAAAAATAATTTCATGCATTGAGTAGGATTTCTGTAAGGATTTCTATAATTATATCACTTACCTGAGTGGTATAATTTCTGAAAACCGCAGGCCATGAACAGGACCTATATATATATTTTTTTAATCTTGCAATCAGAAAACTAGAATTTATTTTCAAAAACACTGAATATAACATGGTAATCATAATTTATATTTCTATATCATAGGTAAGTCCTATATTGTACATTCTCTTATTAATGTTTTTGAAATGAGAAACAATATTTATCCAAAACTAATCATTTGGCTTTATTATTTTATGTAAAAATCCAAATTTTTGTATCCCCATGAGTTCTTATTCTAGTACATATATTTTAATTAAAATATTAAAAATAAGATAGATATTGAAAGAAAATGTAAATATAATAACTCATAGAATGTAGAACTTAATTGGACTTTGAATATTCGTTTAATCCCTATTTGTATGTATAAAAACACAACTGCACTTAACTTAGTTTACAAAAAACTTCTAAGAGAGAAATTAAACTTTCAACATTTATATCACTTTAGAATAAACTCTTTTTGCTGCTTTGGTTATAAGAAGACAGAAGCTGCCCTCAAAGGAAAAGTCCATTGCTACTATGATACTTATTATTTATTTTTAAAATCATATTGCTGATTTTTGTGACTTCCTAACTAGAGCAATTGGTGTTTGCTATAAGCTACAGATTTAAACTGCTCTTTCTGACCTAAATTATTTTTTAAATAATGGAAGTAAAGCTTATGACACACTCGTATTAAATAGACTACTCCAGTTAATAAGCGATCTCAAAGTGTTTATAATAATTTAAAAATAAAATATAATTGTAATTAACATGCTAGTACTTATTTTTCAGAGGAGATGCTGGCTACAAAATATGCTCTCTGGTGGTCTCCTAATGGAAAATTTTTAGCATATGTAGAATTTAATGATACAGATATACCAGTTATTGCCTATTCCTATTATGGAGATGAACAATATCCTAGAACAATAAATATTCCATATCCAAAGGTATGTTGAATACATTTAACAAATGCTTTCATTTTCCTGGTATCAAAATGAGCAAGCGTTATGATGAATAGAGGCGGGATCAACAAGTTTGGAGAGCTTCTTACCCCTGTGCATTGTAAGGCAAACAGTGTACTGGGCTCTATTATTTGTATGGACATCTGTTGCTTTGGACATCTGGTTAAACTGGATGAAACAGTCTTTGCAGAATCCATCGCAGAATCTTTGATGAACATATGGTCTAGATCATGGAGGAAAAACAAGCTTAACTTAATTTTAGTTTTTTTTATATTTCATACTCAAATTCAGGGTAAAGTTATATTTTGCACTTTCCTCTTGAATTCTCGTGATGTGAACTAGAATGGAAACATACATGTTGAACTTGATCTTCTTGTCAGGTATTAGATGACAGAAGTTACATTCTTTTCTGTTTAGACAAGGCAGATAAACTCTGTGAAGAGTTTAAGGACAATTAAACGTGAGGTAATTCTTAAGTTATTTGCAAATCGATTAGAATGCATGCTTTCTGGGCAGCCTAGAAAGAGGATAGTTTTGTGTGCAGTCAGTAAATGGCCAGGTCACAATGGAGAAGCATCGTGGTATCGTTTCTTAGAAGTTTGAAAAAGCGGAGTGTCAACATGTAAATTCTCTTGCACAAAGAGATGCTAGACTAGAGTTCTTTGTCCTTTAGTGAGTTCCTGTATGTAACAAAACTGCGATGAATATAGCACACACACACGAGTGGATTCTGAGACAAAGCAAAGCAACTAGAGCTTGAAAAGTAGACTAATTCATATGTTGAGATTATGGGTGCTTGAATGGTAGAATTCTCCTTCCTGAATTTGATTCCTGGCCAGTTCACCTCATGTGTGGTCACCACCTATCCGAGTCAATGGAAGCTTGCGTGCTGTTATGATACTGAAGAAATTTCAGTAGATCGTCTAGACTACAACCAACTAGGAAGAAAAAACTAATGTTCTACTTTCAAAAATGGAGACCCTATGTGTCCCAATGGTGATATCTACAACTGATCATGTGGATGGGACCCAACCAGTGGGATTTTGTTCCATTGTGCATGGGTGCCTGGGTCGCCATGAGTCTGGAGCCAGCTTGATGAGAGCTAACAAGGACTAGGACAGTAATATTTATATTCAAAATCACTTGAGAAAAGGCAAAGGATAGAATATGAATGTTTAGATACATAGTCTCTCAAGGGCTTTGTGGAAAGCCTGAATGTTGGAGAGATATCAAGGTGAGAAGTATAATACTGGGGATCCAAGATGTAAAAGAACTTACATCTTTGGAAGGGTTTGTGTGAGCAGGCAAACTAGACTGGAAAACTGACTGACACTGATAGCTAAATCGGGCCCAACATTCTGCATTTTTTCTTTGCAGACCTAAGTTGCGGAGGGAAATATCTGTTATTAGACTAAAGGGGAGGATAATGTCAAAGAGTCATGGAATGCCCAGATAAATCTAGGTGTGAAGAAGGGAAATCATAAAAGAGATTGGACAATTCATTAGATGGATGGAAACAGTGTTAAGTCATTTAAGACTACCAGAACTTTGTGGATTTAAATCTTTTTGCATTTGTAAGAATCTCTGCTCTTGTAGAAGAGCAGTCTAGGCATGACCTATACTGCCAGGTGAATTTCAGGCATACAGTAGCATAGAAAGGATAAAACAAGAAAACTGTAAATCCCAGAGACACCTTCTTTGGAGGTGAAATTTCTCTACTCTTTGGATAATGGTAGCAGTAGTAATGGAAACATCTAGGAGATTTACTGTTTGGTGGTTGTCCGCGACCAAAGGATAGGGTAAATGCAAAAATGATGTCTCATCTATTTCTCTTTCCATTCTTTCAAAACAAATACCCTTCTGCACTCCCATTAGCACATTTGAAAGTATTATTATTATAATTACCCTAATTATAATTAGGTAATCTTCCCTTGGAGATCAGAAAAAAACATGATTGATCCCAAAATTATAATCTTATATCCAAAATATTTTCCATATACACTCAAGCTCTCTCATGAAACATTTAAAATATGGTTTTCCTTCTTGTTAACAAAAAATTTGTAATTGTCCCACAAGTAAATTAAAAGGAATTTCTTATTCATGATATGCAACGAAGGTTTTCTAAAGTAACATGGTCAGTATTGCTAACTTATAAAAATAAATCTAAACTTCTACAAAGGAGACCAACAGTTAAACACTTAGTTTCTAACAAAAGGTGGGTCCTTCAAACCCACTCGCAGGTCTGTGGAGGGAAAACATGGCTATCTGTTCCAGTAAGTATTAGCGTGTAGGGGAAGTTCTACTCTTTTGCATAGGGTTGTTTTGAATCAAACCCCACTTTGCAGCACATAATAACTCCTAATATCTTATTAAAAATGTTCATGATAATTGGAGGTATATGAGCTTATATATTTCCATTTCCTTGGCAGGCTGGGGCGAAGAATCCTGCAGTTCGGATATTTATTATCGATACCACTTACCCAGGACATGTAGGTCCCAGAGAAGTGCCAGTCCCAGAAATGATAGCCTCAAGGTAAATTCATCTCAGATTCTTCCTTTTGCAAACAAAGTGAATTTATTACAAGTTGAAATCTTATTAAGGTTTACACTGCTTTTCGAGGGAGTTTGTAATGCACATACAGTAAGTAAAAATTTTATTATACAAAGTTAAATACTTACAACTTTGAAAATCAAAAGTAAATTTCTTTAAATGGTGGTTAAGAAAATACTCTTTTCACATATACACGCGACCTCACTGATCCATCTAAGGGATACTTCCATCAGACATAAATACATAAAGTTCAGACTGACAGGAAGATAGTAGAATTTACACTTGTCCTCAGCCTCACTTCTTCCTCATCTGGCCTGCTTTCTCTCAGTCCTAGGGTGGTGGTCCATACTTATTACATACCTCTCATGCCTGTCAGTTTGTCATACTACGGTGGCTTGCATGTTGCTGTCATCCTGGAAACAGAAACTGTGCCACTGGTATTTCACCCCGGTGAGCAGGATTCTAGAGAGCTGCACGAGTAAGGACAGACTAAAAAGAGAGCAGGCAATCCAATTCTGAGGGATCAGCAGCTGAGAACGTTATGAAAACCAGGAGAACGCTGTCAGAGAGAGTGCCCAAGGACGAGCCTGTCAGGCTGGAAAGCGCTCCAAATACGACTGGGGAAGAGCTGCTTCTTCCAAATAGATTCCCCTTAGGGACTTCAGGTTTAGTAAACCTTTCAGGACCTTCACCTGTTGTTGGGGCGTGACGCAAATTGAAATGTTTCAGGAAACGAATGCCATACTGGAAGCATTCTGTAGTGTATACCAAGAAATTTGGAAGAAGGTTGCCTGGCTGACTGGAAAAGTTCATATGTGCCCATTCTAAAGGAAGATGGCAATCCAATAGAAGGTGGAAATTATTTAACAACATCATCGATATCACATACAACTAAAATTTCTGAAGATAACGCAACAACAGTTGCAGCAGCACATCAACCACAAGCTACCAGAAATCCAAGCTGGGTTCAGAAGAGAATGTGGTACAAGGAATTTCATTACTAATATTAGATAGCTCTTGGCTGAAAATAGAGGATGTCAGAAAGATATTTACTTGGCTTTTATTTACTACGCAAAGACATTCAACTGTGTGGATCCTAATAAAGTATGGATTACATTGGGGGAAATTAGAATTCCAGAAAACTGATTTATTCTCATGAAAAACCTGCATCCGTTTTTTGAAACATCTCAATGGGCATTTTGTTAATTCTTTGTTTTCACTAAAGCTTTCAATGCAGTGTGGACTTCTTCCTTCAGTCCTGTAGCTTCTTTATTATGTTCTAGCTCTTGAAAGAGTTGAATGGCAAGCAGTTCTTTTCGGTTCAGTGCCTCTGCATCTCCCCTCCATCTTCTCTTGATGCTTCTTCCGCATCAATTAATATTTTGCCCACAGATGAGGAATCTGTCCTTGGAAAGGAACAAGGGCATACTCTATGGTTTACAGTCAGAAGTGTGTTGTGTCCTTTCACTATATTTGTTCAACCTGTGTGCTGAGCAAATAATCTGAGGAGCTGAACTATATGAAAAAGGAAGACTCAGGATTAGAAGAAGTTTATGAACAGCCTATACTATTCAGATGACACCAAGTTGCTTGCTGAAAGCCAAGAGGTCTTCAGGCAGTTACTACTGAGGAGCATGCCTTCAGTGTGGAGTGCAGCTCAAAGTGAAGAAAACATATATGCTCACAACTGGACCAATTGACAAGATAATAATAAATGGAGAAAAGATTGAAGCTGTCAAGGATTTCATTTTACTGGATTCCACAATCCATGGTCATGGAAGAAGCAGTTACAACGCTGAATAACGTACTGAATTGGCCCAATCTGCTGTGAAAGACCTCTTTAAAGTGTTAAAGAACAAAGTCATGGTTTTTTTCAATTGTCTCCTATGCATGTGAAAATTAGACAATAAATGAGGAAGACCGCGGAAAATTGGATATAATTGAAGTATGGTGTTGGTGAGGAACATAGAAGGTAACACACACTGTCCATAAACCACCTCTTTCTTGGAGGACGTACAGCCAGAAAACTCAAAATTGAGGATGGCAGACCTTTCGTCGCACACACCTTAGACACAGTATCAGAAAGATTGGTCTCTGCGGGAGGACATCATGCTTGGTAAAGTAGAGCGCACACAGTGACTGTGACAATGGCCGTGTGCATGACAACAATTGTGAAGGTGGTGCAGGACCGGGTCGTGGTGTGCTCTGTTGTACACAGGGTCCCTGTGAGCTGGAGCTGACTAATAACACCATAGATAAGGACCTAAACATTCTCCCTGCCTCAGCATGGCTCCATATTTAAGTCCTGCCAGATGAGTCCTAATTACAGCAACCAAACTTCCAGCAACCATTCATGTTAGCATGGATAAGGTTTGCTTACGGGTCTCTTTACCCTTACCAGCCCTGGGTATCAATCCCCTCAAATCCCTGTGTGGTGCTAGCGGCTAGCAGGCACTTTAGAAGAGCAGTTTCATCATCTACCTCCAAACCATCAAATACCCTCTGGGGTACAGCTATTGTCAGTTACACACTGGGTTGTCCTGAATCATGATTAAGTCAAGAATAACTAGTTTTACCAGGTAATGGCTTGTTTTCTCTTCTCCTGCTTCATGAAGAACAGCTGTCCAGAATTAAAGATGTGCTGTTAATAGGGAAAAGAACTCTATCCCACCTTGTCAAGGTGAATCCACTCTAGAATGATCAAACTCAACTTTTTTTTTTTTAAATTGGCGTTATTCTCCACCCCAATCTCACTCAAAGAAACCTCACCCATCGAGCCAGTTCTGACTCAAAATGACCCTAGAAGAGAGAGAGGAAACGGCCTCTGTGGGTTTCTGAGACTGTAAATCTTTACAGGAGTAAACATAAGGTAACCTTATCACATTAGCTAATATTTACAGTAATGTTTGTAATTGATAATACTGTTAGTTCCATTTGATTGAGAGAGAAGCATACATTGCTATGTAACTAACCCGAGATAACAGAGCTAGTAGTAGCTAAAACCAGGATTTGACAAGGAAACTCCTCCTGGTTCGGTGGGTTCTTGTACCGTGATATCCCAAATCCTATGGTTTCTTTACAATGTGTTCTCTATCTGCAAGTTCATCCTTGGAGTCAAGCAATCACTGCTGCCCTTCACTGACACCTAGAATGTGCCAAGCACGAGTTGAGTTGCTCCCTATACATCATCTCTAATTATGACACTGACCCCAATTTGAACACTTGCCCATGGTCACAGCTAACACCTAGCTTCAAACACAAATTTGCCTGGAGAAGAAGACAGCCTTTCCACCACACTGGGCTCTCTCTCAACTAATTAAAAAGTGAAAAATTGAGTTTACCTATGTAAAGTAGCCAATTTAATGTTGTTTTCTATGCAGATTGACCCCTAGCTTTGACCTAATTTCTTTAATTTTTCTAAAACATAAAATCCCCAAATGGAGAAAAATTCAAATATGAAATAGTTTCATTAGGTGAGTGAACTCTTTTTCCAGGTATGTTCTAGAATTAGCAGATATATTTACACTCTTTCTAGAAAAGGAAAGCTTTGCCTTCATGAGCTACTGAATAAATATTCCAAAATAAGATACATTCTTTATTTGTTCTTTTTGTTTTTTTTAAGATACATTCTTGAGGAAGCAAAAATTAGGAAATTATTTGAATGTGATCTTGACCTGTGATTGTGACTGTCGGTTTTGGTTGATTTGCAGTGATTATTATTTCAGTTGGCTTACCTGGGTTACTGATGAACGGATATGTCTTCAGTGGTTGAAAAGAATCCAGAATGTTTCAGTGTTGTCTATCTGTGACTTTAGGGAAAACTGGCAGACATGGGACTGTCCAAAGGTAGGTATGTTGAAATCATAGACATATGTATCTAAAAATGAAAGTACAATAATGGGGATTTATTTTCACTAACATTTTGCATTATAAAGCCAGGATTACTGTTGTCATCTCATAACTGCTTTACAAAAAAAGCACTCGCTATTCACAGACCCACTATTTTGTATCGATTATATAGGATACTTCTTGCTTTTTTAATTTCCTTTAGGGGCTTGATTCTTGAATAGCGAAAAATAATGAAGCAATGTAACATTGAGAGATCAAATAGCTGATTCTCAATTAGGATTGAACCTCACTTTTGAGATAAGACTGGTAGCAAAACAAAAACAAAAACGGGAGAAGAAAGAAAAGGGAAGGCAAGACGAGGATGACATCTCCAGGGTGCAGTAGAGCACCGATGAAACACACAACTATCCTCTAGTTCTTTAAAATTTCCTCCTGCCACTACTATGGCCCTAGTTTTACCTCACTAATCCTGCGTATGTACATGGGTACAACCAAGATCTTTCAGTGCCTGAAGTTCAAGAGAGAGCATCCCCTTGGAAACAGTAAAGGAGTATTGACTTCCTGAGGATACGGGATGGCGAGGAAGGGAGGAAGGGGAGCAGGTAGCTATGATGACTGTATAGCCCCACTTGAAGGGAATGAACGTCCGAATTTAAGGAGACTAGATACATGGGAGGATGAAAGTTAAGGCAAATATATATTTTAATATATAATATACTGAGGGTTCAGGGGGGTGATAGGGGAGGGGAGGGAGGGGATAAAGGGGATTTGATATCAAGGAGTTCAAGAAGAAAAGAAAATGTATTGAAAATTATGAGGGAAGCAATGGTACAATTATGCTTCATCTAATGGAACTATGGATTCTATTAATATCTGTAAGAGTACTTAATAAAATGTTAAAAAAAGAAAGATGATTTAGAGAATAAATTCTCTAAATAAATTCTCTAAATAACTTTGTTTATACAAAAGAACAAAAGCAGAAATGCAAATGGGGTATATTCTATTCAAGGTTGAAACTGAAAAGGAAAATTCCAAAAGAAATGAATATAATAAAAATAAAGTCAAATATTCCCATTCTAAAATCAAAATGGATAATTGAGAACATGATAAGAGATGATCTATCTTAAGATTGTGTCCCCTACCATATTAACATAGGAGGCTGTGGAGAGCTTGAAAATTAAGTAGTGATTTATTGTTGGGTTTTAATTGTTTGTATTGCTCAAATCCAAGCATAATATGTTGAATTAATGAGTCAGAGAATGACTTCACCAGTCTAAAAGCTTTAATTTAAGTCTGTTCATAAGCACTCCTATTACAGATTAAGAAACACAAAATGTTTTCTTTAAATAGGAAATTTGATGGGTACATTTCATGAGGCTTCTAATTATGAAGACATGTTCCATTAACTCAAACATAGAATAAGCCTATTTTATTAAATAAATTTTAAAAAGCACAGCGCAATCCAAGTAAATCACTAAGTTCTATCTAGAAATTAGGACATTATGTTTTCCAAAGAAAGAGTCATTCTGAATATGTTTGGAAATATATCAGAACTATAATAATCAAAATAACTCAGGCTAAAAATATGTTCTAAATCACTACGATGTCTGTAAAAGGCTTAACTAATTTTGATGGGAAATGCTAGAAACTTATTTTTATCTTATTTATATCTTAGTATACAAAGCAGGAAGAAGATTTTGGCACTAATGTATCATAGGCAGAAAAAGATAGACGCATCTTAATTATGCTGGCTAACTAGAAACCATTTATCTGATTCGTCAGCTGCTTGGGGTGACTTTATCTTTAATATCCTCAATGAATGTGGGTGTTGGGAACTAGAACTTTAACTTTATTAGTTGAAAAGCTATAGAAGGTTAATTATTTGGACCCAATTTTTTGCTCTGAAAATAGGCAATTAAAAACTGTGATTTCTTTGGAATTTAAAATTCTAATTTATCAAAATCTGAGATGACTTTAATCCAAATTGACAGAACATTTAAGATGCTCATTCAGTAAACTTTGAAATTCCCTAGAATATATATATTTTAGTTTGTGGCAAACAAAAAGATTAAATTTAGAATATCAAGTTTGAATAACCTTATAATTTCTAAATGATCTCTGTTTCAAGAAGAACAATCTAATACATACATGGATACATGGAACACTATTCATTTTTAAGAATAATTGAGTGTGGAATTTTGCAGCCACCATATTGATGATTGGTACGTTTTCATGTTCTGTAAACAAATTGACTTTACCCTAAGTGACCTTGCAATGCTTCATTCATGTTTAGAGTCATATCCAAAACAAAATAGCAAAGATAGCTGGCAATTACTATTTTAAAATATCTATATTAATGATATTTATAGAAATTAGTAGTTCTAAGAAAAATAATTCACATCATTCTACCTCCAAAAAGGGGATTAAAGTTACTTTTATCTTTAGAGGAAAATAGAATGCATAAAAAAGGTTTCACTATTTACCACTCAAAATCTTGTTTGGTTCATTTTGTCTATAGGAAAAAGCTCAAACCATTCTTAAAATCGATAATTCACCTCCCTTTGTAATCGAATATTCTCTAGCGGGTTCCTTGTTTCTTTTCTTTACAGCTTCTCTTCTCTAGACACCTTAGTATTATCCAGGTGGATATATTTGCAAGGTAGGCTAACCGTCATAGCGCAACAGCCTCAAACCTTCAGGAATTCAGCGAGCAGGGAGAGTAGAAATTATTACGTGTTCATATAATGGCCCAATAGGGTATCCAGGTCAGTGGTGAGTAGCGTGGTGCTAATCTTCAGTCGTTCAGGAACTCGGGTTGATAGTGACTCCCAAGATTTTTCAAACTGGAGCATCAGCCTCCAACTCCAATGAGGGAGTAGGGGGTGAAAAAAAAAGGAGGCTTCTGTATGAAAGGTTTTTATGGACTTGGCCTTGAAGTAGCACTTGTTCGTTCCTTCTGCTCATATTCTATTGGCTAGAATGTATCATATGACCCCATCAAACTCGAATGGAGGTTAGAAAATGTAGCATCGCTGAGGCCTAGGAAGCAAAGGAAATGATCTGCTGATGAAATTGCAATCTCTGTCACAAAGTCTCCTGATTTGCTTTGATGATTTTCGTCAACACTATAGGTTTCTTTTATCACGTTGAAATAACGTTCACCTTTATTTCTGAGTTTGGGGACTTTCATCCATCTCTGGCTCTATCTGCACTGCTCCAGGCTCACTGCCCCTGCTTTTTTTTGGGTCTTTATCATGTCTTTTCTCCAAACATCACAAGAGCTTTTGCTGTAGCACTGCTGGGATTTGAACCCAGGACCTCATGCTTTCTCAAAAGGCATTATAACCAACTAAGCCTCTGTGCTGGCATGATAGCTTTTCAATTAATCTCTTTGTTCTCCTCCATCTCACCCACTTCTAATCTGTTACCTCCATCATGTGTTTAATTAAATACTAAATTGTGAACTCCACATCCTTCAATGACTGACTTACAGGAGATATTTTATCTTCTTAGCACGATAGAGCAGTTTCTCCAAGATCTTGCTGAGACTACCCATCCTTCCTCAGCTTCGAACTGTTCCTTCAGTCAGCTGCCATGTCAGTCATTCAGAACCACATAGGGTTTTTTAAGATGCCCTGCTTTCCACGGTCTTCATTCTCCTTGAATGCTCTTCTTTCTCAAACAATCCGATCTTTTAGGCTTACGAAATAGTTGCTAAAAGAATAATCGACTACATTATGCTTAAATAAGTAGCACAATAAGGCTTGGTGCAAATTTAATTTTTTCTAGCTATCTCATAAAGTTCAATAAACATTTCCTTTTCACCGACACCACATCAGGGGCTTAGATTGTCCTTGGCCGTAATAGATGGAGCAATTCCAAGTCATCTCATGAAAGACCAGAAATGTTATATGCATTTGTAATATCAACCAGCACTTAGGTAACCCATATGTAGAAGATTTTGAATGCTATAATCTTAAATACAAATAAGAAATTAGTTGACTAAATGACTAAGTTCATTGCCATCGAGTCAATGGAGCACATGGTGACCCCTGTGGGTTTCCAATCTTTCTCACGTGGAGCTGGTGGTAGTTTCTAACTGCCCACCACGTGGAATGTAGCCAAATGCATAACCACTACACCACTAGGGATCCTACTAACAGCAGTCCCACACTTTTATTGGGATATAATCCACGTATCATAAATTCAATAGTTCAATCATTTGAAGAAGAGTTGTACAATCATTATCACAATCAATTTTAGAACATTTTCTTCATTCTTGTACTCCTTGTTATTAACTCCCTTTCCCCACCCACCCCCAACCTCCCGTGCCATACCCCCAAGAAACCATTAATCCTGCGCCTCTCTCTGTAGATTTACCCATCCTGGATTTCAGATACCAAGCAGCATACAGATACAAAGAACAAAGAAACAAAAAGAGCTAAGAGCATTAACAAAATAAAATAGAGAAAAACCTCAATCACAAAGAAAGCAAAGTAAATTAAAAACTAGAGCAACTTTAAAATGGGTCAAAAGGGAGGTAAACTGAGGAGGTGTTACATTTTAACCTACTCCTATTTGCAATAATCTACTTTCCATTGCACTCAGGATAACAAGGTTATTCACATTCCTAGTCTGTGTTCAGATGGACTCACAGAGCCTCAACACACATGTATTTACCCTTCACTTTTGTTCCCTAAACTGATACAATTTTTAAATGGGTCAAAATGGGGATGAAACAAGATGTTACATTGTAACCTAACTATCTGTACTATAATCTTCTCTACCACTCTCGCTGTCTGATAACAAAGCTATTCACATCCTTTAACTGTGGTCACAGGTGGATTCGCCAGAAGCTTAATCTATGTGTGGATCCTGAAAACGGATATTGGGCGTCCACTGACTTCCATGGGCTTCTTAACAACAGTACACTCTTAAGTGATGCAAATTACCCTGATTATATTAAGGGAACATGTCTTTCTAATACTATACTTGATATGATATTTTGTGTTTCAGACCCAGGAGCACCTAGAAGAAAGCAGAACTGGATGGGCTGGTGGAGTATGATTTTGCTCTCTTTTCCTTATATTTTAAGGAAACGACAGATTCTCAGCTATCAAAGGACTATTTGAAATGTATCCAAATTGGCACTACTTATTTTCATAGAAAAAAATACCAAGGTGAAAAACACAATGGTAGTGCTTCCTTAAGAGATTTTGTGCCAGATAAAGTTAATGCCTGTATTGTGAGTATTCTACTTAGAACAAATCATATTCTTCATGTCTTAATCCTTATTTTCAGAATTATATTCATAATCTCACTTCTTAAACACACTAAGGACTATTATTTTCTCACAAGGGACCACTATCCACAATATGCCTAAAACCAATTTAAAAATTTTAGCTATTTGAATCCATAAGCACAAAAGTAATCAAATATTCTTTGTAACTTCAAGCCATGAAATTTTGTATAAATTAAAATAAATTTTATATGCACATAATCACTTCATTTTTTAGGTAAATTAAACACTAAATAGGAAAATGCATATTTGTGGGGTTTAGGTCACTTATATAGGCTAATTTAGTGATGTATGAGGATATTCAGTGGGGGAAAAAACGTGTTTTAGAAAAATGTTGACTGTATTACATATCATATATGAAGAATAAAAAAAATAGGACAAAGTATAAGTAAATATTGCTAACTATCAAAAACAATGATTGAATCAAACTCATTTTTAAGGGAAATACAGGCTACTGCTCTGAGAGGCTTGGTTGCTTAGACCGTTAAGCATGGGGCTGCTCACCTCAGCGGCAGCACCACTCAGAACCAACTGGACGGGAGTAAGTTGGTTCTTTTTCTTTCCCGAGATGTGGACATTTTTTGCAAAGAAAAGGGAAACTTTTAAGACTTAGATTAACATATTAACCCAGTGCTGTGGACTAAGCATTGGGCTTTAACCGCAAGGACAGCAGTTCAAACCTACCAGCTGCTCTACAGGAGAAAGTTGAGATCGTCTGTCCCTATAAAAAAAATTACATTGTTGAAAACCCCAAGGAGCAGCTCTATGCTGTCTTACACAGAGCGCTGCTATGAGTCGGAATCAGTGCAATGGCACTGAGCTGCTTTTAAAAAACCGAGATAACAAAGATTTCTTATGGGAATTCCAAGATTGTACATCTTGTGGAATATGCAATTTAAAGTGACTTAGAAAGTAAACAGATTCGATGCATTGAACACTAATGGCAGATAACTTGATGAGCTGTGGGAGGACATAAGGAACATCGTTCATGAAGAAAACAAAGGTCAGTAAAGGTCTCACATGCTTTGGACATGTGGTCGAGAGACCAGTCCCTGGGGAAGAACAACCTGCTTGGTGAAGTGGAGGGGCAGTGACAATGAAGGAAGTCCTCAATGAGATGCATTGTCACCGTAGCTTCAACGATGAACTCTAGCATGGGAACAGTTGTGAGGATGGTGCAGGACCAGACAATTTTTCATAGCAAGTAAAATAATCAGAAACTAATAAACTCTTTGTTCCACACTTTTTCTGAATTCAGAAATTTCAACTACTTGTAAAAATTGCACTGTTTTTAGTAAAGGAGACTTTATTTTTACTCAGTAGCTAGATGGTTATGAATAAACTTAGCATCAACCTCTTAGAGACAGTACATATCTGATTATTTTACTAATTATACACAGTAAATGTAAAATGTATTCTTAAATAATGAAATATCAAGTGTTTATAGATGCACAACACAGGGAGATTTCAAGATAGTCCTCTTTGAATTCACCATTCTAAATAATCAAAGAAAGTTAGCAATATGCAATAAATAAATAGGATTCTCTGAGTTTTCTGGATTCTTGATCAATCGAATGCCACCTTCCAGGAAAGTACTTCCTAGAACAGCATTTGAAAACTTGAGGAAAGAGAAAAATTCATCTACTCATTCAATCCCATTTCAAACATTTTTGAGTAAATAATAACTGAAAAGAAAAGTGATTGAAAATGTATTTCAGTTGTATTTTCCATGGTAAACAACTAGTGCTACTATAACTAATATGAATGGTGTAATTTTACAAATAAGTCAGTGATGATAGCAAACAACCCCCTCTAAGATGTTACCATGGGGATCCGTTTACATTTATTCTGAAAATGCTGCTAGTGTTCAAAACACTAAAAAATTTTCAGATGCATCGTTTGAAATCCCTATTTGTAAGTATCTTAAGGTCAACAGTTGTATTTTATTCATCTTTAAAATCTGTGTAACACCAACCCCACATTCTCACTGAATATAAGCTGCATGAATGGGTAAATTGATTAATTCATTGCCTTCTGAGGCAGCAGAACATTCTTTTAAAAGCCTCCAGTATGGGCATATAAGGGGGCTTCAAATATTTGTGATAAAATTCCATTATCTTTTAATTTCATTTTACTATGATTTTTTAGAAACCCCATCCTTGTATATGTCTTCTTTACTTTTCTGCACTACACAGCAAATTATGCAGAACTAGATCTAGTGAATAAATAAGTTATTTATCTGGGACATGTGATTTTATGCAAGACCATTTTAATGTCTGTGGTCTTAAAATCCTACTGGAACAAATTATTTTTCTTAGTCACTGACTTCAATGTCTTAAGATTAATCCAATAGTCAGCAAGGCTTCTGCATTCCGGAGGAGGAGTCGTCAACAATTCCGAGCAGTGATTGCTTTCAAAAATAAGTTCACACCCTCCCAAGGTGACTGGTCTGAGGGGCCACGCATTAGATATCATAAGTTCTGACATGTCTTTGGAAAAGCCAGGCGACTACTTTATACAGTCATCACTCATGTGCCCTAGTAACTTGTGTAGCTTGCTTTGACCTGTAAAAAAATCTAATGACTTTGAAATTAACCAGAAGCAATCTAGAAACAAATATGTTTTTGAATGTTTGTCCAAATATACGATATTTAAGAAAACAGCAAGTCATTGTACAAATATAAAAACAATTTTAGAGAAGTAGTTCCTTTAGAATTTATGAAATTGGTTCAAACTGAAAAAGATATTCAAAGATCACCCAGGAATTAGAAAAAATGAGATTAAATGACTTGACAAAAGTAACTCATCTGTTAGTTGCAGACAAAATATGCAAGCAAGCTTCCTGAGAACTCTAGTTCATATTTCTCCCTCCAACACTGTGGTACTCAAAGAATAATTAAACTTATTCTGTAGAATTTTATCAGAAACTTAATAGCAAATTTACTTTAAATCGTTTTATTGCAGGATGAGAATGGTTACACAATTTGAACAAAGTCACTCAATTAATTATACACATAGAAATGCTTGAATTGGTATGCTGTGTTGTATATATCCTTCACAGAAACAACAGAATACTTTTATAGAAAAATAAAAAATTTAAATGGCTCTTTTGCCCTGTAGAAAAGAGCTAGAAAAGAAGAGTTGGTATACTAACAAAAAAATTGTAAAAATTTAGTGCTTGATTCTTTAAAATTGTGTCAGTACAAACAATAAAAACATAAAGCTTAGATTCCAAAACTGCACTTTAATTATCTAAAAATAGTTAAACAAAATATGACACCTTCCTTAGATTGCTCGCAGAGCCCCTTGGTTCAGAAAAAAATTAATGTTTGACTTACTGTTTGCGAAACTATACTTCTGACTGAATGTGGGTTCCCTTTGGGCTCAGACTTAATGATAGAGGGCACTTACCAACTATGACAAAATATTGTACAGTGGCAAATATTATTCCTAAAAGATGAAATATTTTAAGTGGCTTTTGCACTTCACAGATCCATAACACCGTCTATTAGAAATTCTAAGCATGATAAAGCAACTGCAAAGGCCCTTGTAAAAACTGATGACAATAGCCTCATTTGGTGCTTTTCTAAGTATAGTTGTGGTTCACTGGGAAGAGGCACTTAGTATGGAAGACACTTTGGACATGGCTGTGGCAATGTGAACATAGAAATAGATATTCCACACTGGCTTTCCCCTGCCCAACTGCTCTTCTATGTTCCCTGCGTTACATATGTTCAATGACAGGGGAGAAGTTGAGTCTTTACTCAGCAGAAATATTCTACCTACTTGACTGATTAAAAAATACCGTTGTGCACTGTTTTCAAAATTTTAATAAAAACAAATGTCTAAGTTTTAAACTATAAAGAAAAAAACCAAAGCTTTAAAAAATATCTTTAAAAGAACTGCCAGAGTGAAGGGAATTTTTTTTCAAACCCGTGGCAGCATAAAATATTTTGTAACCACAAGGCTATATGTTAGTGATGAAGACAAGTTAGAATCAGCTTTGTCTCTCACAGCACAGAGAGAGCTATTATAACAAGGTCACTGCCCATCCACTCACTGCCAGGCAGTGGATTCTGATTCATAGCAACCCCAGATGACAGAGAAGAACTTCTTAGAATTTCCGAGACTGTAAATCTTCAAGAAAGCCTAAGGTTATGATAGTGGGGTGAAGGAAGCACCAAAGAACTAGAGGAAAGTTGTGTATTTCATCAGTGCTATACTGCACCCTGATTGGCTCATCTTTACAGATGAGCATTGGTTTTTCACTCCATGCCCCCCCCCCACCCTATTCACATTGGATATGATTTTGTTCTGGGTCTTAGATGCCTGATACCTGATCCCATTGACACCTCATGATCACACAGGTTGGTGTGCTTCTTCCATGTGGGCTTTATTGCTTCTGTGTTAGATGGCTGCTTGTTTATCTTCAAGCCATTAAGATCCCAGACACTGTATCTTTTGATAGCTGAGCACCGTCAACTTTCTTCATCACATTTGCTTATACACCCATTTTGTCTTCAGCAATCATGTCGGGAAGGTGAGCATCACAGAATGCAGGATTGTTAGAACAAAATGCTCTTGTGTTGAGCGAGTACTCAAGTCAAAGCCCAATGTCCATCTGCAACCTTAATTTTTAACATACAGATATGAGTACATATTTCTATTCCCCTCTCGTTTTATATATATATTTACATATGTACATGCCTGTATTTAGACCTCTATAAATGTCCTTTCCTCCTGGTTCTGTCCTCTATTTCCT